AATTACAAGAAAGTTAGACATTATCACCCTCATCATCATCATCATTTTTGCTCTACTCCCTAGGCTGCAAGGACTCCTCATATCACTGTAAGGGTGGTGCAGTATAAAACTTTAGAGAGCTAGGTCTGACATTCACAAGCCAGTTCTGGAACATGTCTACTAAAGTTGAGTTAAAATATGTTTGTTACTCCTACTAGCACTAGTGCGGATCAACATAGAAATAACATCTCTAAACCATATTCTATTGTTACCACTGAATAATAGCAACCTCTTCTAGGCATTCAAATAATAATGAAAAGGAGGCAGAAGATTCGGCTCGTGAAGGGATGGATCCCAAGGAACTCTCATCTCTCTCAAATGTAGTATTACCATATGATGTTGTAGCATTCATAGTAATAGCCTTGCTATGAGGGAGTTGTTCCTCCCAACTCACACTCTTAATCCCCACCTGAGCAAATAAAGCAGAGATCACTGACAGGTGGCTAAGTCCTATGTTACTCCTCCTTTGATGATATTTTATATATAATAATACATAACACTCCCACCATTTAGAGATTTTTCTTTCTAAAAAAAGTAATCCAAGTAGCTCTATCTCTCATAACCTCACTAATATAAGCCCACCATCTAGTGTAGCAGTGCTACTTGTAGGGAAGTGATGGCATTGGGTGTGGTGGTGCTCAATACATAAATAGCATATACCTATATTTTTAGCATCCACCCAAAGTACACACGTAAAACTAAAGCAAACTATGCATACCCACATGTAAATACACTAAGATAACACTTAGCTTGACTCCAAAAAAGATCATTATTTAATATTCTCAGGCTGACACAATCATATCACGCTTAAGATTTTTCTCCATGATCACGTTGCCCTGAAGAATTTCCTAAATCATCAAATTTCAATCTTTTTGGTTATATGTATTTGACTTTAAACCCTTATTCAGTATTTTTTTTGTAATTTGTCAATGTCACTTTGGTAACAATCTTCCGTATGATATATTGATGGTTTAATTAGATTATAAATTCTAAAAGTGATTTCTTGAACCTGTTCTCTTATACTTAACTCCATTGTTTGAAATGAACTTTCAAAAACTATTCAAATTTTAACATCTTCTTCCATATCCAAAATAATAAAATTAGTTGGGAAGATGAATTTACCAACCTTAACTATAATATCTTTAATTATTCCTTCAAAAGAGGTTAAAGATCAATTAGTTAATTAAAAATTAGTAGTTATTTGTTAAAATTTCCTAATCTTATATTTTTTTTTAAAATTGATAAGGGCATGAGATTGATGATATCTCTTAAGTCACATAAAACATTTCCATAAAATCTATATCTTATACTATTAAGAATATTAAAGCTGCCCTGATCCTACAATTTTTGGGGTAATTTTCTTTGGATAATGACGCTATACTCTTTATTTTGGGCTACAAAATTTAATTCTCCTAGTTTAAATTTTTTATTTAAAAAATCTTTTAGGAATTTAATGTAGCTAAGCATTTGTTTAAAAGCTTTAATAAATGGTACATTAATGTTAAGCTTTTTGAATACTTCTAAGAGCCAAAAACTTGTGGGTCCAATTTTTATTTTATAATCTACGAGGAGAAGGTGGTGATGGTCTGTCGTATTCTTTCCTAAGAAGTGAGGCTTCTTTTATAAAGTCTGGTGAAGGTTTGTCACTAAAATTTTTAGACTTGGGTTCTATTGATCCAATTTTCTATCTGGCCACCCCTTCTAACTCCTTCCCACTCCTAAGTTTTATGGATTTGCACTACTTACAACTTCCTCCTTCATATTCACTTTGGTGTTCCTCAGTAACATCCTTGTTGATGAGACCTAGACTAATAGGTTTTGGTAATAACCAATTGAAACGTGGAGAGTAATAAAAGTTTTAATATGGATATTTCAGGGGATGCATTACGCTCAGCTCATTTTAGTTAGCTTGAGGAATTGGACTAAGAATAGAATTGAGTACTTAAGTGAAAAAACAAATCATCAAATGAATTTTCAATATATGATTTCTTTGTTGTTGAGTCCTTGAGTTATTTGAACAAATATTTTTTATTCTTGAATTTGGATACATTGATATGTTGAGCTTTTAGTCTTAATTTACTTATAGTATGACCAATTAGGAAGTTAAACTCCCTTCTAATATAAGACTTTTAACCGTTGATTGCAAAAACAAGTAGGTTAACACATATTCACCTAGTGGAATAGACATATTGTTAGTAGGAGTGTGCAACCTAGATATGGAACTAAAGGATTTCTAGGAAACCTTACCTGGTTAAGTCCCCTTACTTGTAATACTAGTTTTCAATGCTTCTTATGATTTAGACATAGGCGAAGGACTTTTCTTGGTTGTCAACAGTAACGTGTGATATTTATAGAAAAAATATCAATAACTCACAAGATCAGAATCACATGAGTATGAACATTTCACCTCTAAAAAACATCAACAACTTTAATGTCGTTTTATGTTTTCGGCATTATAATTTTAGAATGCTTTCACAACCCTTTAAACTAGATTGATATTTATTAAACTAGAACTTCCATCTGTTATAAAAATTGATAAGTTTTCTTGAGGGATTGAAATGTGGATTTGTAATATGTATATTACTTGATCAACGTATATACTTATATAATTAGTCGATTGCTTGGCAGAATTTTTGGGCATGAGAGATGGAGATATCATATGCTTTCCTTTCAATTAAAACCCATCGTGCATATATCTACTTGGAGCCTCGATCCTACTCGATTGTTCCTGAGGCAAGATACTTAGCTAAGGGTTTTACATAAACATATTAAGTCATCATAGTTGAAAAAGTTTCAGGATTTACAAACCCTCGATTTCCAATTATACTTCACTTATTAATTAAATTTCATATCATTAAGGTAGATAGGGGCTGATTCATGGACAATCAAGAATAAGAAAACATGGATACAAAATCTCACAAAATTAAGATGTTGCTTGAAGTTTATAAGATTTAGAGGCCAATGGGATGTCAATTTATTAGCTACCTTTGACATGCATCTTCATTTTAATAAGTGATCCAAATGTGAATTGTAGCTAGGTTTTTCTTAATTGGTGTAAAATATCTTGTTTTTTTTTTGGAACAAAAAATGTCTTCCATAAAGAAATTGTAAACCTCATTCCACATAATTCATAATCCTCATTGTAAGAAAAAGTTCACAATTAAAATTAAAAGATCAAGATTACCTTAGAAGTTCAGTAGTTATTTCACAACCACTAATTACACTCTATATTTTAGTCTAGAAGTGTGCATTATTTGTTTTAAACCGAAAAATCAAATCGAATACAGTCAATTTAGTTGATTCGATTCAGTTTAAAAAAAAAATATCCATTAGGTTTTAAAAATGTTGAAGTTTGGTTTTCGATTTACGGTTCAATTTTATTTCTTATACAACCAAATGAAACAAAAATTGAATTTTATAAGTAAATCTTCGTTTAAATGTTTAGAAGTGAATCTTCTAATAATCAACAATATATAATCATTGCTTACTAATCTTCATTTTTCTCATTATCAACATATTCTTTTACATTCAAACTATATTCGATTTATGTAAAATTGAACTGTTTAAGCAGTATTAAACTATCAAAATTTTGTTTAGTTTGATACTACAGATTTCGGATTTCGGTGGAAGTTGGCTTGCCCAGTTTGAAAATTGAACCATCCGAACCAACTGAATGCTCACCCCTATTTTAGTCTCCTATTGATGATATATCTAAGAGATATAATTTCCACTTCTTTTGAACCCTTGCTTAGATCTTCTTCAGAGAAAGAAACTTCATATCCATCCATCGACATATAAGATAGAGAAAATTCCCTGTTCTTGTTATTTCAAGAACACAACTCTTCGTAGTTGAAGGGACTATTGTAAGGCAAGGAGTTGATGTCATTTCACATTAATTTTCACAATATTGTGTGAGAGATTGAAGCGGAGATGTCTCAAGAAGTGAAGCAAAATAAAAAAAAAAGTGGAGTGCAGCGAAGTTAACTAGGTTAAGGGTGTGTTTGGGGTAGCTTGTGTGTTTCAAGTTAAGATGTTTATCCTGAAATGTGGCCCGCTGGAGGGCTGCGAGGTTCAACCCGCGACCTGCGTTTAGTGTAAAAAATCAAACGCGGTTTCAGATAAATGGCGAAACGCGTGAACCAAACGGTACGACGGCTTTTTGAAAACGTCACCCGCACTTATAAGCTGCCCCAAACTAGCCCTAAGTGTCTGAATCAATATAGGGAGAGACTTCAGAGAGATCAATATCACTGATAAGCAAAGTTATATGAAGATAAAGAAGCAAAAAAGCACAAAAGGGAGGAGATGAAGGAGAAAAGGCATGAAAGATAATAAGCTGAGAAAATAAAGGAGGAAACCAGAACTTGAAGAGCACATAAAACCCTGCAAACTAGAAGAATAAAGTTACTATTGGTGTAAAATAAAAAATTTGAATATACCTTTCAATTATTTGATACTATATATTTATGTTTAATACCTAAACTTTACTTTTTAAAATTTATAGAGCTCAAAATTTTCTTCTCAGTTAAAAAATATCATTATAATAATTCTTAAAAGTGAAATACATATTTTCATATGAGTAAGATAATATGTATATAAAAACCGAAATTTAGATATTGTATATGTAAATACATTAAAATTAGTTGCTTTATAAATAAGAAATGTTATTTTCATTTTTAATCCTTACTCCATCGCACCGGAGAGCCTATGCGGCTGAAAAAATTATTCTGTCAGGACTCTTAACGTAAAGAATCATTCAAAGTTCAATGAAATCACGTCACTCGACAGTGACAGAAAAAAAAAATCTGCACGGTAACACAAAGGAATATTTCTCCCTATGTTATTCAGGTGTTATTGTGTATTATTTAAATATTATTGGTGTGTTATTAGATTATTATAACCTCAGAATATTTTCAGAACACAATAGTAGCTGAATAATATATAATAACCGATTTTTTTTTTTAAATTCCTTCGTAATTGGCATAAAATCTCTCCGTAACCCTAGCTATCGGAGTGTTCTCCGGCGACGTGATGGCTGAGAAATTAGCACCAGAAAGACGCCACAGCTTTGTCCATGGAGGTTGCTTGCTTTTGATCCCTATTCTAAAACTTTTGTCCGCTTTCTTACTCTCTTCCCCTTTAATTCTGTCGCGATGTTGAATTATAGGGAAGAAGGTTTTTGAATGGGATCAGAACCTGGATGAAGTGAACATATACATTGATCTCCCACCAGATGTTCCGAAGAAGCTCTTCTACTGCAAGATTGTTTCCCAGCACATTGAAGTCAGCATCCGCGGCAATCCGCCTTACCTGAATGTTTGTATCTACTACTGAAAATTTAACTTGCTGAAATACGTTTGTTTGATTTCATTTCATTTCTGATCAGTGAGACGTTTCTTTATTCCTCTTAATGTTTTTAGCACGATCTTGCCGCACCAGTCAAGACTGATTCTTCCTTTTGGACGCTAGGTAACACATTTCGTAAAGTCTGTTTCTGTTTAAAGTTTGATTATTTCTTTAATCTTTATTTATGAATAACTTTTTCTTAGGTTTTGATCAAAACATTTTGATTGTTGTTAACCTGCTACAAAATGCTTTTACTGCTTTTGAATTAAGGAAGTGCTTTTAAGAAATAGGGGTTAGAAGAGCTTTTTTTTCTTTATTTGATAGCTTAAGAATCAAAAAAATTATAAGTAATTTGACACGCGCGCGCGGGCACACATATATATATATATATGCTCAACTAAATAATTGCATTGTTAGATTTTTTTTATTAAAGTAGGTGTTATTTGGTATTATCTATGTTACACGGACATGGACATAGGAGCCCAAGGACACAGACACTAGAAATGTCTATTATTGAAAATATAGAACACGTATATGTGTCAAACACGCAGTTATAATAAAATTATTAAAATTATATGTATAAGTTAAATAAATAAAAGATAAATTAATAACATTAACTTTCGAAAACTAAGATGCTCATAGATAATTCTTTAGTTTGACATACAAAATGTAAGTGTAATGACATATATTATCTTTTATTATATCAAAATTTAACTCCTCGTAATCAACAAAACTCACTAAAATAAAAGGATGACTGACTTCTTTGGCATGTACTTCTACTTCATATCTACTATCATCATCCTTAAATATTATGGTTTCCAACTCTGGTTTATCAAGAAAAAGGTCTGCAATCTCCAAAATTTCAGTATCGTTGAAGCGCCAAAACCTTAGCTCTTGCTCTCAAGGGTGAGACTGAGATCATGAGATGGAGCGTAGGAGGGCTCTAGGGCAACCAAGCTGAATTGAATCGAAGGCAAAATGACGTCTGGAGAGTGGGCGGGATGGATTATTAAGTTAATAGGTTTATGTTTTAAGATTTTAACTTTTATTTAATAAATATTGGGGTCCCATACATGTCGTCGAATTATTATGTATTTACATATATACACCTAAAATTTGATTTTTACATTTATGCCACCCAAATCTTTCATATCACGTCTAAATATATAAATCAAATCAAATGAAATACTCTTCTTATTTTTTATACATATCTAAGGTGGCATATATGTAAAAATTAAAATTATGGTGGTAGATATGCAAATTCATAAGAATTAAGCAGTGTGTATGCAAATTTTCCTAAATTTTACATTTTTTATTTTAATTTTAAAAATAAATTTTCAAAAAAAATTGTATTTATTAATTTAGGTCGTGTCGAAATTTAGGTCGCGCGTGTACCTTTTTTAATATTATTTAATTCCGACACTTCTATGTCGTGTTTAATATGTGTCGGAGTTGTGTTCGTGTCCGATACGTGCCCGACACTGCACCACTTTTTAATTAGGTGTGTCTGTGCATCACAGAGTATTATAAAAAACTTAAGATAATTTTTTTCTCTCTTTTTTTATTCATTTTGAAAGAGAAAAAAAATCCTTCAAATAAAGGAAAGAAGTTCTCTATTTTTTTATTTAAAACTCCCAACCAAGAAAAAGTGTTTGCTATCTTTTTAATTCCTTTTTTTTTCTTTTTTTCTCTTCAAATTCTAGCTAAATGATTGCCATGGATATTGACTTCTTCATTCTAAAACTAATTTCTTGTGTAAGTAGTGTTTATATTATATATGCATTGTGCCGTTAACCTATGTTATCTGGGCATTATCATCTTTGAAAATGAACTTGTTCCATGGAGAATGCCTAATTATGCTCTTATCATTTTGGTTTTGCTCGCAAATATCATAGTTTGTTAAATGAACATAAATGTTATGTTGTTGTTGTTGTTGTTGTTGTTGAACATAAGTGCTATGTGCTTTTGGTTGTACAGTAGTATTTTCTTTATCACACCTTTACCATACCACTTTATTATTTTTTTATAGAAGGTATTATATTTAAGTGTTGTTTTCTTCGAGGGCTCCATCAAATTTTTAAGAGTTGTTTGATTAGCTGAAAAATGAATTCAATATAAAAGTAATGTATTGTATGTGTAATACTTTTATAGTTGTTTGGTCAGTGCAAAAGAATTTCATAGCTTTATATTTTTTTGTTTAGTTTGAAGAAAAATGAAAGTAATGTAAACTATGTTCGTTAATTGCTGCTGTTGCGGTGGCCAAAGAGGGCGGCGACTGAAGGTTCCGTGATTAGTGAGCAACGACGGCGATCAACACTTACACAAACCAGTATATTTGAAATTTATCCAAATATAGTGAATTTCAAATATTGAAAGTGAACTAGATAATAAATTATAAATGCATTATAATTTTACATTGCATTTGTTTATCTTCCAATCAAGTGCCACAATTTTCAAAACTTCTACAAAAACAATGCATTGCACTCTTTTTGATACCTATCAAACAGCCGCTTAATATTTTTTGACATGATTGTTTATTGTTAATCTAAAATCATTATTCTGTTAGACCTTTAACCTGTAGTTCTCCTTTCAAAAACATTCCTCTCCACTACTTGGTGGCCTTTCAAAATTATGTCTTCATGAGTCCTACATTGTTGAAGAAGGGAGTTGTGCATGCAAGCCAATGATAAGAGATTTTTTGGTTGAACCAGGGTTTTAATTGAACTGAAGAAAACTAAGTCAAGCACCTTTTGGATCAGACTCGACTTGGCCATCTTATAAGTCATTCAAGCTAAATAAAACTTTCACATATTTATGTATACATGGCCTGCTTAAAATTATGTATAACCGAGCTTGACTCATCTAAATTAATTGAATGGGTATCTAAACAAGTGCACGATAATACATATAAACAAACTCATTGACATGCTTTAGATAATTATTGAGCAAACAAATAGTAGATACTCTCATTTTTTTCATTAATCAAGCATTAGAAGTGACCATAAACCAAATGTTAGCGTTTTTAAAAGTCTGACCATACAAGTAATTCAATAATATTAAGAGTTAGAATCCAACTACTTAATATTAGCTAAATAAGATGAGCAAGTCATTAGCTAGTTTTATTTTTAAGTCATACAACAAAGACGCATGAACCTTGTTCATTGAAACAAAGAAATAAAAATTATGAATTTAATGCTTGTTGAACAAGCAAGCTTTAAATAAGCATGAACATTCCAAACAAGTATTGTGTTCATAAACAAAATTTGAAAATTAAGTAGTTACAACTCACAAAAAATGATAGATTATATGGATTCAAAATGCATATTCCTTGAAAGTTATCAAGCACGTAGAATGATAAATCGCATGCTGGATTAACCAATGTGTTACAGTGTGACTAACATTAGATCAAAAAATTGGTTGCTAATTAAGATAAATTTATTGATCAATAGTTATATTATGTCTGATTGACCAAATTTATGCATAAACAATTTGGATTTGTACGATGGGAGGAAAATTATTTGTTGTAATTTTTAGGATATCCTTAAAATCCTAATTTAAGTAGAATTTTTTGCTTGACAAAAAATGTTTGGTAGTATGCAGGAGCTCTAGTGACAGAGTTATAAATTTGAGTGATCAAATCATTAAAAGTTGAGCGTGTTAGATATCTTGGGTCTATTGTTCAAAGTGATGGTGACATATATATGGATGTTATTAGTAGAATTCAAGTTGGTTGGTTGAAGTGGAGGAATGCATCGAGCCTATTGTGTGATAGAAAAGTACCACCTAGACTTTAAGGAAAATTTAATAAGATGGTGGTGAGACCTGCAATGCTTTATGACGCAAAATGTTGGCCTTTAAAAGAGAAGCATAAAAGAATGTTCAAGTGTTGGTGAGATGAGAATGCTTAGGCGGATGAGTGGCTTGACACTTGAGAGAAAATGCGAAATGAATCTATCCGTGAAAGGGTTGGTGTAGCTCCAATGGCAGACAAGATAAGAGAGAGGTGTGTTAGATGGTTTGGTAATATTAAACATGGACCACCTGATTTTCTGGTTAAGAGAGTTGATGTTTTAAATTTGACTTATGTTTAGAAAAGCAAGTAGACCTAAAAAGACTTGTGCATATTGTATAAAAGATGATCTTAATATATTATAATTAAATGAAAATATGGCACTCAATAGGACACAATGAAGAACAAGGATTCATGTAGCCGACCCCACTTAGTGGGATAAACACTTGTTGTTGTTGTAGTATGCTGGAGCTAATGGGAGAGAAATGAGAAGTTACTTTAATTGTGAATTGGAGAAGACGAATAATTATGCTATAATGTTATATTATAGAAGTCAAAGAAAGACGTGTCTTAGATCCGAGGTAAGAACAAAGTATTAAGGAACTAAACTCTTCATAGAGTTTGAGCACGATGGATTCAGGTTTTTCATTTCTTCCTTTGGTAATTCTCACTGGCATTGAATAGCTTGGGAACTCATTGAGTGTCAAGTCTAACGATAGAGAAAAGGTAAGATGAAATGGTGAATATGGGAAATCCTATGATGCTTGATGCTTCTAATAAGTACTTCAGAAAATTGCAATGACTAAATTTCCTCCTAAGTCTAATAAATGAGCATATAGTACTAAAGAAGTAGCAAAATAAATTACATTGCTCAAGCTTTGACTGAGCCATATACGAGCTATAACCAAACCTAATGTCAAGACTTAACAACCTTCTTGAATTAAAGCTTGTTCCTAAACATATATAAATGAGTTGGACTAGGATAAAACCTGATTCATTTAAGCTTCGAGTTTTTAAAAAATATCTAAACTTGTTTGATTACTATGTTAAAAAACTTGAATTTGCATTAACTAAGGCCAATTATTAAGCTGTTCATTCAAGTCATAGATTTACTTAGAGCCTTAGGTGCAAGCATGTCTTTTGATTGCCCCAAAAGCCAGGTGTTTATAGTTTTTAGGAAAATTTAACATCAAGTAGCATTAGGAAAATTTTACTGGCAGCATATTATTATTAAAATATAGGTTAAGGTTGTGCACCAACAAATGGAAAATATTATGATTACATGCCAGTATATTCACATGTTTAAAGTTGTACCAGCAAAAGCACATTTGTT